AGTGCAGTGTTGATGTTTCACTTGTGTAGCTCCGTTTGTCCTAGTGAAGGTGTACGGAGTGAAATGTTCGTTGGACTTATTTAAATGTCTCTTTGCATAACGGTTATATTTTTCTATGTACAATTGTCAAATAAAGTGATGATTTTCTATAAAATCCTAGTGTTGTGATGTACCCTCTGGCCTCCATTAATTTGATTGAACCTCTTTAAGATAAAAGCGAGGTTTAGCCTATTACACATACAACGTCAAGCCCCATTTATCCAAAGGCAAATGGGAAAGCAGAAAAGGGGGTGCAAATTGTAAAAAGACTGAGAAAAAAAAAAAGCAGCTGCAAGCAATTCGGATGAATATCTGGCATTGAGTTGTCGTTCCTCCCCACTTGGTTGTGGGTTATCTGCCGAACTACTGATGAACCGTAAACTGCGTGACACTTTGCCAAAGTTGTCTCTTAAAAGATAAAAGTTTGACATTGAAAGAGATGCAACATCAGAAAAGGAAACAAAGAATTTTATGATAAGGAATCTCGGCAACTGATAGCCTACCTCTTTCTGAGCAAGATGTCGTTAGAGTTGAGCCAACAGGATGGCGAAGGAAAGCTGTTGTTCTAAAAGAAGTAAATCCAAGGTCATATCTTATTCAAACAGAGGATGGGCAAGTGTTAAGGAGAAATCGGAGGAGTTTGTTGAAGTCTGCAGAAATCTAAGTCAAATATAGAACTGTCTCCTTTGGATGGGCTAACTTCTCATGAAGTTGAGAAATCTTCTCCAGAAATGCCCTCTGTCTCTTCCTGTTGCTGAGTCTCTTTCTGAGGTTCAGCTCTTTGAACAGTCCCCTGAACTGGTTTCATCTGTACCAAAGACTGACCATCCAATCTTACGAAGATCTAATCGTGTTAGAAAACCACCTGTTAGACTGGACTTGTAAAAAAAAAAAAAAGAAAGAAAAGTGAAAATCTTGGTATTGAAAAATGAATGTGTTGTAAATGGAGCAATTGAGTGTTTTGGTGTTGGACTAGTGTTTAGTGTGAACTGTTTAGTAGGTAATGTTATTTATTCAAGGAAAAGGGATGTAATGTTATTTAAGGAAAATGGATGTAATGAGTGGGATGTTTAGTCCACTAGGTGGCAGTAATGGATTGTATAAAGTCAAGTGCTTTTGCTGAGCAGTGGTGTGGTAATTTGTATATGATGAATGTTCCACGTGGAATAAAGAGGCCAGCACCAGTACAAGTAATACCTCTTTATATTGGTTTCTTGTCTGGTTATTGAATAATACACTGTGTAGACTGTTTGTGAAGCTGTTTCAAACAGCTTACATGATGTGAGCTGCTCTCTGGATCAGCGGCTGCGCGAAAGCAGGATTAAATATTCCGATGTGATTGTACATTTCTTAGTTGAAAACGGTTGTGCTACTTTTTTTCAAACTCAAAAGAAAAGCATTTTTATGAACAGATTTTTTTGTAACAATGTAAAGTTTTATTGCCGTTTTGATTAATTTAATTAAACCTTGCTGAATAAAAGTAGGCTATTCATTTCTTTAAAGGGGTCATATGATGCGATTTCAAGTTTTCCTTTCTCTTTGGAGTGTTACAAGCTGATTGTGAATAGATAAGATCCCTGAAGTTGCAAAGACTCACGTCTCAAAACCAAAGAGATATTCTTTATCAAAGTTAAGACTCTGCCACGCTCCCCTAAAACATTTCTGCCTCACTATGTGGAAATATTTGCATAATGCCGCCCAAATGTGCACGCAAAGAAAGAAGGCGTGGTTTCAGTAACCGCAGTCTGTTACACCAAATACACCAAATAATGATCTTTAAAAAAACATCATATGACCCCTTTAAATCAGTCTTACTGACGTAAGCAGCATTCTAAGCAGTACGCATCGTGAGCCGATCGAAGCTGATCAGAGACCAGTGGTGGAAAGTTTTTTTTTTTTTTTTTTTTTTTTTTTTAAACTTTTTTTTTTTTTTTTTTTTAAGACTTACTTATGGTTTTGTGAAATATCCCTTCAGCAACGAACACTCTGTAGTTGATTGGTTCTGTCTTTGAGCAATTGCTTATACGTTCAGATGAGCAGGAAGAATAGTTATACACAATTATTCGCTAATAACAATAACTTGGAAAAAATATCGATCTTAAGGTGTTTTTTTTTTTTTTAAACATCCTTTCGAAACATATGGATACTTCAGGATCGACCCGCCCAACTCTGAAACACCATATTTAGGCTAAACAATACTTTTACTTTTACTTTTTTCGAGGCTATACTTCTACTTTTTGAAATGTCTGTGACCAATGTTTTGTGAAAGAAAAATAAGTGATATTCGCCCTATATCTGGTGGTAAGTGGTTTTAAAGTTTTACTTTTGAGGAAAACTCGTGACCTACTCACGAGACTTACTAAAAATGTCCAAGGCAGTTGACAAATAACGACCAATATAGCATAGGCTATACCCGTCTCCCTCTCTCTTTAAATTACCATGATAATATTATTATTATTATTATTATTATCGTGTTATTTCCTTCTACCATTAATTTTGATTGATTTGTAAAGTAATTTTTATCCATCTGCTCCACAGGGAGTTGTTTCCTGTTAATCCAATTTAGTATCGTTTTTATTAAGTAAACGATTATATTTTACCCACTGTTTTTCATAACAAATGGGTGTTTCTTCAACTCTGCACTTCCCAGAAATCGATTTGAATTGTTGTTTTTTTTGCCTTTTACGCATATTTCTTTAATTTACTTTTGTCTCATATTTATTACTTTATTATTACGTTATTTATTTTCTCTCGTGCTCAACCATCCAACTACACACTTAACAGGTAGGCTACTTTAAAATGGCCATGAATATTAACTTTAAAATTGTAACTGGTTTCCTACCAATTGTGTACGTGTTTTGTTTTTTGTTTTTTTTACATGACATGCATGACCAGCTTAGTTGAGGATAGTTCTCTCCTCTTCTACACTAATAAGCAAGTAAGTGACAATCAAAATGGAATTTATGATCCATATTGTTATCAAGTATTCAATTGTGCATAAACATGCCCAGTCACAAAAACATTAAGTCTATACCATTACTTTTTATCACCTTTTCGTTTTAACATTGTAAAGGGCTCATAAAACTTTATTGCTTTTACTTAAACAATTGAAAGACACCCACCGTCTAAACTCATTTGTGTATTTCTACACAGCCAGATGCTGTCACATCCCACGACCTCATCATCTGCAGAGAGAACTGCCATTCAGTTACACCAAAATGCATAATGATGGACATAAAAACATTGTCACAACATTACACTTTAACTTGGCCTTCATTACATTTATTTTGTGTTTCTGTTTTGATTTGTCTTTATGTATTTTTTTTATGTTCAGGGTCAATAATAATTTATATTTCCTTATGATGCATGACTGTTGGACATTGTTAGTGAACAAATAAGTCAACTTTCATGTCCTTGGTTGAAGAAACACCATAAAAAAATTAAATTTACAGTAAAATTGGCAGTTGTCAGAACTTTACTGTAAAATATGTTAGCAAAATTTTAAGTTTTACAAACTTAAATATTCAGTCAAAAATATATTTTATTAACTGAAATGTTCATATACCAAATTAAAATCTGTCACAAAAATACAAAACGGCATCATGATTACTCGCGTCACTAAAATAATTTCAGTAGACATTAATTTAACATAAGATGTAACATAAAACTATAATATACTTAACTGATAAGAAAAAACTAATTAGTATTTTACTGTAAAATTACATGAAATGCCTATTAGATCTATTACTTTTTCACCATAGAGTAAGGAGACTTACTGTTAAACAATTAAAAGGGTTTTTCCACCCTAAAATAACCATCATTTTCTATAGTGTATGAACAAGGAGGTTTACAATGAGCTAATCCTTTTCTTGCCTTTTCTGTTTCAGTTTGTTTTCCAAAGAATGCATATGTCTGCAAGAAGCCTGTGGAAACACGACCTGTACAAGAACTGAGTCTTGAAGAATCTTGAACTACTGTTGCCTTGTCTCTCAGTTTTCTATGAAAATCCCTCCATATTGTTTACTGTTAAGGCACACATCAACCAACATCACAGCATGTGAAGCGTCTTAAGATTGTGCTGAACAGCACTGTAATGTTACATTAAGTAGATCTAGACTGTGACCATGTTCGCTTTAAAGATTATTATTCTTATTACACTTATTGTTCCTCTTAATTATGATCTTTGTTCATGTCAATGTGCTCGTGCTGAATATAAGATAGACAAGCAATGCTGCCCAATGTGTGCCCCTGGTAAGACTGCAAGTTATAGCATATATTGTCTTTATAAGTTTATTTACTGTTACAGTATTAGAAATTTGTTAAAATATATTATTTCCGTAGTGAACGTAATCTGCTTTATTCTGCCATAAAGCATTTGTTTGTTAAAAAGAAATATATACAAATTATAGAGGGTTTTTCTTTTACTTAAGAAATTTCTAATACTTACATTTTCAAAATTGTTAAATTACGATTCAATATGGTCAGAAATCAAGAACCAATTTTGTGTGCTGCCTATTAAGGAAACCGTGTTCGTTGGCACTGCACAGATGACACCAGCACAACTTGTGTTCCATGCCCTCCATTAACTTTCCTTGATGAACCAAATGGCCTCATGGAATGCTTTCCCTGTACTGTATGTGATGCAAGTGAGTGTTTCCACTTTATATACTGTATGTTCATCTGAAAATGTTAAATTGTTGGTGAAAAATCATGTCTGTTAATTCAAGTGATTAAAGATCGGAAGAGTTGCAAGCTAGTTGCTCCAGGAAACTGTCCCTGAAAAGAATATAGTGTACACTCTTAAAAAAAAAATAAAGGTGCTTATAAGGTTCTTCAAGCGATGCCATAGAAGAACCATTTTTGGTTCCACAAAGAACCATTCAGTCAAAGGTTCTTTAAAGAACCATCTCTTTCTTAACTTTTTATAATCTGAAGATCCTTCTTTCGCCACAAAGAACCTTTTGTGAAACAGAAAGGTTCTTCAGATGTTAAAGGTTCTTTATGGAACCATTTAGACAAAAAGGTTCTTCTATGGCATCGTGAAGCACCTTTATTTTTTAGAGTGTACACTTCAGATGCAACTGCGAAGGTGTCTTCTAAAAGACAAGTAACTTAACACATTATATTTTTCTTCCTAGACCAAGGTTTAAGACTGAGTGAAGTATGCACTCGGTCATCAGATGCTGTTTGTGGGCCACTGGAGAGATTCTACTGCACTGAAAAAAAGAAAGGCAGCTGCACTTTAGCTGTGCAACATTCTAAATGTAACCCTGGACAATATATCAAACAAGCAGGTAAATGATAAAAAAAAATCATATAAATCATATTAGCATACAGTAAACATTGTTTATTGTGCTGCATGAATTGTAATAGAAGGAAGAGATTTATAGACAAATATAACAGTGACAGTTTCATTTTAACCTTATGCTGACTGTCTCTGCAGGTACTGGTTCCACAGATACTGTATGTGCTGACTGTACAGGTGACTCATATTCAAACGGATCTTTCTCATCCTGTTTACCACATACAAAGTAAGTGCACACTTATGCTGTTTATGTGTGCTGTTGATCATTTTTCAACAAATCTGATCCTGGATATTATTCACAGATGTGAGGCCATGGGACTTGCTGAAACAAATCCAGGAACACATTCATCAGACTCTGAATGTGGAAATCCCCCTACTGCTGTAGCAATCATTGCCTCTAGTGTTATAGTTACTTTAATATTAATTACAGTAGTAAGTGTTTTAATATTTAAATGCATTCGGAAGAAGAAACTATCTAAAAGGTCAGGTAAGCTTTATTCTGTTATTTTTGTAGTATGAGATCTATAGTTGTTTTTTTCTATAAGGGAATTTTCTATGAAAATTCAACAATCATTTGAGGCTGGGACACTGTGAATCATTGCTGGTTGCTGCACATTATGGTGATGTAGAGAGGATTACACAGATTTTTGCTGATTTGGTGCTCAGGAAACATTTTTTCTTATTATCAATGTAGTAGATAACAGTTGTGCTCAGCGGCGTCATGCCCATTCAAAAGCCCCCTCAGATTTTTGAGCCACGTGGATTTTGAATGCAGCTTCCAAAAGACAAAAAATAGCCAAATAATATTTTCTATATTAGAAACAATCACACCAGCATGATTAAATTGTTCAGCGCATCATATCATCAGCTGCTAAATTTAAAACTGTGTTCGCTGGCTGGCGTTGAGCCAGAGACAGACGCGTCGATGCGTTTATACAGCACTGCGCATTATAACCAATCACACACGATGCTGTTGAGCTTATGAATGCAATGACCAATCAGAGGTGTTCAGATGAGTCATCGCTAAAATGCCGGTGTTTTGTTCACTGGCTCTCTGACTGAATACCTCTTTCTGGCGAATTCTTTCGTCAGAAACAACAAACTGCAGATGTGTGTATGAATCTGTAAATAAGATATTCATTTCACAGTGTAAACCGCTTCAGTGATTTTAATGGGAGTTTTTGAGAGTGCTTGAACTAGACTGTCAGTGAAAATGTTCTTTGATAATGTAGAAATGTTCTTTGCTTTTTCAGTACAATGAAAGTGTTATGATTAGTAGCCTAACTTACAATGTTTTTATTCACATTAACTTTCAATGTTAAATTCACATTAAATATAAAGTCAGTCGTATTAAAATGTTATGGCATGACACCCATATCTGTTAATTAAGTAAACAGACAGGTTTTTAATATGTATAATTAATAGACTACATTATTATGCTACTTTGACCATCGCTCACTGTAGATCAACTAACATAATCTATAAAGGTGAGAATCGAGATATTTCATGATATAGTTAATGCGTTTGGGAATGTTTCGAATAAAAAGGAAAAATAAAACAGGAGTGCTATTGTGGCTGTTGTGTGTCAATATTCTGCAGCAAAAACAATTTTTAACCATGATAATAATAACTAATATTAATATCATATTAGAATGATTTATGAAGGATTCATAAAAGAAATCCAGCATTGCCATCACATGTATACTATTTTAAAATACATTAAAATATAAGGTTACACTTTATTTCGATAGTCCACTTTAGACATTCTACTAACTATAAGTAACTTTGTAACTACATGTCAACTACATGTCAACTAATTCTCATTAATTTACAACTACAGGTCTACTAACTCTCAGAGTAGACTGTTAGGGTAGGTTTAAGGTAAGTAGAATAAGTTGATAAAGAAAGTGTTAGAAGATATTAAGCAGACAGTCTACTAATACTCTACTAACTGCTAGTTGACATGTTTTTGCAAAGTTACTTGCTGTTAATAGAATGTCTAAAGTGGACTATCGAAATAAAGTGTTACCAAATATAAAACAGTTATTTTCAATTGTAATAATATTTTACAGTATTAATGTTTTTACAGTATTTTTGAGCATAAAAGATGTATTTGAAAAACATTGTGAAATACATTAATACTTGTACTATTCTCTCTCTTCTTTTCATGAAATAGAAGGTAAAAAATATTTACTATGTTTTAAAAATGTGTGTTTGGTTTTGTTCAAAAGGAAACAGGAAATGGTTTACATGAAAAACACAGTTCAAAAGGTAAGAATAAAGTATATCATAGACAGACATACAAGACACAGTTATTCAGCTTATATTTGATGAGAAACTTCAATTACTTCAATTATAGTAAATTCTATAATTTTTTGGTCTCATGTGGTTTGACTGTGTAAAAATAATGAAAACTTTCCTTGTGCTTTTGTAAGCTGAAAAGAAATGCTTCATTGTTTTTTTCAGTTGTTGGCGGCAGGATAAATGTTGAATCATTTGGAATAGAAGAACAATTCCTAAGAACCTAGGGATTGACTACAGTTTCTAAACTACTCACATATTTCACCACATTCACTGAAAGAGTTATCATGCCTGGAATTTATCGGCTTGAGCTACAGAAAGTGATTACTAATCCTCTTACATTTACATTTATGCAAATAAGCAGCCATTTAATTAACAGACTAGAATAATCATGGCTGATAGACACTGCAAACTTAAAAGAAAACCAAACTGATCTCAAGAGCAGCTGTTACTTCTTGCCCAACTTTTAACTACATTAAAGGGAAATGATCGTGAAATGTTTCTCAAATGTTTGTTATTATTTTAATATGGTTTGTGATTTAGTCTTAGTGACTTAGGAGTCCTCTTGTTTTAGCTGCATGGTTTTAGTGCTAAAATGTTTTGTGAAATTCTCTTTTTAGCTAAAAACAGTTAACATTATTGAGTTTACTAGCTACTTTTAGCCTTGATGTTTTGTGAATATGGCCCCAGTTCATTCTGAAAAATTAGAACATTTTGTCATGTTCATTATGTGCCATGTAATTCTGGTGAACACAGAATCCTGGGAACATAGAAATGACTCTGACCCGATGGACTATGATTAGCTTACACTACAGATACAAAAAAGACTCCACATACACAGTCATTGTTTGATGGGTTTTTTCCCCTCCAGCTGAAACAATGACATCTTTTTCCTTCTGTTCTGTTCTGTTCTGTTCTGTGCCAGTATCAAGTCATGCCCAACAGTTTGAATGCGTCATGAAAAACACAAAACATTTAAAAAAATCTAACAAATCAAAAGCTCCACATACTTAAAATGTATACATTTGTGTAATAAAATATATAAAATAAATATTCAATCTTTATTTAAAAGGGTCAAGAAAATGATGTTGTGTCCTACTATTTGAACATGGCTTACTTTTGGGGAAATATGCTATATAAATTACATACATTATGGTAAATAAGTTTCAGCATAAACTGGATTTTTTTTTTTTTTTTTTTTTCCAGGATTCTTTGATGAAAAAAAAACTGAATTTGTTTGAGATAGTAATTTTTGTCTTTTGTAAAAGTCACTTTTTATCAATTTAGTGCATCCTTTCTGAATACTTTTTTTTTTTTTTGCAATAAATAAAAGCAAAAGTAAAATTAGAAAATATATTTTAAAACATTTTGAGATTAATCATTGAGATGTGTGTTGAAGATTTCACTTGATGGTTACTTCACTTAGCGTTTTTGGAGTCATTAAATTGAAACTCTTGTTGAAAATGGTATAAAAGTTTTGTTGTTGTTGATTTTTAAACATATGAAACAAACATGGATGCATTTCTTGACACAATTTTCACACTACATGTATGAAAATTGACATGAAATGTTATTTGGATACTATATAATTTTAATTTAATTTGTTCAAGTCAAAGGCTCGTCCAGGGATAAGGTAAGGCTTTGACAATTTTCCCCCATCATAATGTACTTTACATTTGTCTGAATAATGGGATTTTTATATTTCAGGTCTGTCCAGTTCCGAAATGTTGGTGGAGGGCTTTTAAAGTGCTCATACACCTAATCCATGAACTTGATGTTACTTAATACATTTCAACCAGTCAAAGCTGAAACAAAAAGAGAACTCAAAAAAGAAACAGAAATATTGGTTTCTTAAGGTAGACCAGCTATGCATAACACTATGCATACATGTGTTCTCTTGTTATATATAACATAAAATTCTGTATTATTCTTAACCCTTTTTATTAAAAATAATTGAAATGGATAATGGATGTACTATTGATTTCCATGGTAAAGTTTATGAATCATTCATCAGAAATTGACATTAATCTATGCCTCGTATCTGAACAGTTACTTGCATACATTGAAATTAGTACACAGTATAACACAATATACTACATTTGTGAATCATTTTTGTGACATGACGACACATATTTGTAAATATTACATTTAAGCCCCCCCCCCCCCAATTTAATGTCTGAATCTCTTGAATTTCTGACAGTTCATATGTAATCATATGTATATACTTTGAATAAATAATCTGTAAATTCTAGTAGTATCTACTATACTGACAAGCTATTTGCTTCATAATACTGTACATCACACATTTAAGAAACATTAATAACCCATGACACTTCTCTTTCAGACATGTTTTGTACCAACATTCAGAATGTTTCATGGTTGAAATTCACTGCAAAAATAACTAATAAAAGCCTTAACTAGCAAATATCATGGCATCGCAATATTATTCACAGTAAATATCTGTACTTTGTGCCAAGTAAAATCTGATCTCTGTGATTTTCCCCTCACAACAGAGTATCCTGTATGAATCAGCAATATATCTTACAGATGCTGACAGTATTCCTGTACAGACATTATGAAAACTAATTCCGTTCGAATATGGCTAAACTTGATACCTGCAAGACTTCAGGGGATTTCCATGTAGGTCTCGCTGAAGCATGAAGACGTCCAAATAGGAGAAGCTTAGTCTGCAAGTAGACGAAGACCTTCAAGTTGGTGAGGTTAAGAATGGAACTTCTATGCCTGGGATTTTCAAACCTGTCCTGGAGGCCCCACTGCAGGGCACATTTTGTATGTAGGAGCATGGAAACCAACAAGCTAAGTTTTGTCGTGAGAGCCACATGGTGTAGTAGTAGGCGCGTGGCTACGTCACATATGTTCCCGCCCTCACCGTCACAGCACAAAAACACTAATAAAACTTACTTTTGGAAAAAAATACTTTGTATTACACATTTATATTATTTTGCTTTCTATTCATGCAATACATTGAATCACAGTAATAGTCTCCCCGCCGCTTAAATTATTGGCAGTTTAGCATTTAGTACGTAATTTAACGTTACACCAAAACAAAAGATCTATCCTTTCATGTCCGAAATCATTATTTTTGTCTTACATTGCATAATAAATTCAGACAAGCTCAGTACCAAGTGGCAACCTTCCGGTCTGTCTTTTGAAACCAACACGGAGTGACGTCCACGTGAAGCCAGAGCTTTCCCTATCCGATCTTTTATTCCCCTTCGTCTCAAGAAATATCCAAAACAAAACATACGTCTCAAAACATATATAGTATGTTCCTGAACAACCCAATAGTAGCTGTGTCTCATTTAGAAGGCTGCACCCTCCGGAGGTCGCATTCGAAGGCTGCATACGTCATCGAGGCTGTCTCATTTCAGAAAAGCAAGAAGGACACTCCGAATGCAACCATCGAATGCGACCTTCTTTCACAGGATTTCGGAGGATGCATGAGGTGTATCTTCTACAGATAACCCACAATTCTTTGCGTCGCCGTGAACAACCGTTGTTAAGTTGAAAAATGCCGGCGCCGGCAGATGTAACTACACACAAGCGCAGATGTGGTGTTTACAACTTACCTTAATTCGCCTCGGTAAAAACGGATAAAATTAGTTTTTAATATCCTCCACCTTTTTTCTCTCTAATAGATGCCTGCTGTAGATATGCTGCAGCTCCTCAAACATTGAACAAAATAAAACAAGTCAAAGCATTTTTTTTTTTCAAATTACTTTCCAAATTTAGAAATAATTTTCCTTCATTTAAGTAGTGTGAGAGCGCAACAATGCTCTAAATGTGTTGGCATAGCAACGTGATACTTCCGGTTTCCTTTTCCGCCTGTCCTACGAAGGCCATCTCGTTTAATTCTAGGTTGAGGACACTTCGTATATGCATCCTACAGAGGATGCGACCTCCAGAGGATTCGACCTTCGGAGGGTGCAGCCTTCTAAATGAGACACAGCTAGTATGTTCCTGCACAACCGGAAGCTGCAGTTTCAGTACACTGGGGCCCCCCAAGGATGTGGGCTGAGCCCCCTCCTCTTCACTCTGCTGACACACGACTGCACACCGTCACACAACTCCAACCTCTTTATTAAGTTTGCAGATGACACGACTGAAGTGGGTCTCATTAGCAACAGAGATGAGACAAACTACAGGAGCGGGGTGAGCTGCCTGGCCGGGTGGTGCAGCGAAAACAATCTCTCTCTGAGTGTAGAGAAGACGAAGGAGATTGTTGTTGACTTCAGGAGAGTGCACACTCAACATGTTCCTCTGACCAGCAACGGTGCGACTTTGGAGAGGGTGAGCAGCACCTGGGAGCAGTTCCTGGTTGTGCACATCACAGAGGACCTCTCCTGGACTGACAACACCGCAGCAGTCTGCTGCCATCAGGGAGGACACTGCGGAGTCTCCAAGCCAGGACCAGCAGACTGAAGGACAGCTTCATCTATCATGCTGTCAGGAAGCTGAACTCCCTCCAGACCTCCCTCCAAATTCAGTTGGCACTTAGAGGCTTTTGCATCTGAACTCTTGAGAGATATATATATATATATAAAATATGTATGTGTGTGTGTGTACTGGACTATATCAAACAAGTAGCCCTTGAGACTATTTTATCCCTTCAGGGAACCCTCACTCACAAAAAGTTTGGAGACCCCTGCTCCAATCCAAAGAAGTGAGTTTTTGGTTGTAAGGGAAAGATAACTTTGTTTAGCTTCCTAAAGAACCCAGCGTTATGTAAACAGTGGATACAGTTTGTTTTTCCGGGGCAGCAACAGAGTTTCACAAGTGTATTTGTTGATGAACGTTTTATAAACAAGGCCCAGTTCAAGCTGGATTTGCGCATCTGAAAGATGGAGCAGTCCCAGCTATAAAAGATCCCGGTCATGATTCAGAACTGCAGACAGTAAGTGAAACGGCATCAAATGTCTGTTTTGTTGGCATCATAGACTGTATAAAAACAGGTTGGCATTCGGCGCCCAAGTGCTTGTCACTCTTTAGCTCCGCCCACAGCACGCCTCCAGGAGCTCGGCTTTTTCCAGAGAGAATCGTAAAGCTGTATCTTTCTTTTATAAATATGATCAAACTAAAGACTTTTTGGAGATAGGAAGGATGCAGTACTTCTCTATAGGTACTAAAGATTAACATGAGACTGAGTGAAACTGTGTGTGTTATGCCCCCTTTAACTTTGTTTGGTCTTCCAAAAGAAGACGATATCCGCTTCGTCATGCCTAGAGCTGATCTGTGCTGGTCGCTGAGGGAATACATCAACTTTCACCGTGGACGAAGCGGAGTCCAGCCCGGGGTCGTCACATGGGCTTGCTGCAAGCCTGCTGGCCGCTCCTTCGTCGAATCCACCGGCTGCACCATTGTCAAGCCGCCGGCCTCTGC